GGCCAACTGGGCTGTGTCCTCTGGGCCCTTGTGGTAGTGGATGGCCGGGTACTCCTGCAGCGTGGCGCACAGTGGGGCAATCTGTTGGGCCAGCGCCTCGAGCTGCTGCGCGCGCTCCCCTGCCCGGAAGGGGCAGTAGAGGTTGTAGGTACTGTGGGAGGCATCAAGGGAGAACACCTGGGACTCGTAGGGGAGGAAGGCAAGGTGAATCTCCTTCAATGTCTTCACTACTTTTGCCAGAGGAGAACGACCCAGCTCACTGAACAGGGGCTCCGGGCAGGTGTCGGTGAAGAAGATATGGGCCGCTTTGCAGGTGAAGGTCGGGGTCCCCCGGAAGTCTGCGATCAAGGCCTGAACCGACTTCTCTGTGGGGCTCAGCAAATAAATGGCCTCCAGGTTGGGAATGGGTTCCGCAGTTTGTTGATGTCTTCAACAATGGTGATGCCCTCAGCTAGGATGTCTGACATTTTGCAGCAGGAAGACAAGATGCGCATTCTCGGGTGATCCATGATAAGCACCTTCCACTCCGCATCCTTCCTGACACTCCGAATAACTCCGCTCAGAATTTTTTCCCCTACCACCGCCTTCAGCCCCCGGGGCGCCATCTTCTCAGAGGTGGGCCACCGCCGCTTCCGGGTCTGTCCCAAGGTGGGACAAATTTATAAGAAAAAAGAAACATAAAGTGAAAAGAGGTCATGAACAGACACTTTTCAAAAGAAGACATACATGTGGCCAACAAGCATATGAGAAAAAGCCCAATGTCACTGATCATTAGAGAAATGCAAATCAAAACAGAGATGCTGTCTCACACCAGTCAGAATGGCTATTACTAAAAGGTCCAAAAATATCAGATGCTGCAATATTTTAGAGAAAAAGGAATACCTATGTCCTGTTGGTGGGAGGATAAATTAGTTCTATCATTGATGAAAACTGTGTGACAATTTCTCAAAGACCTAAAAGCAGAACTACCATTCAACTTAGGAATTGCATTACTGGATATATACCCAAAGGAATATAAATCATTCTGAATATATATATAAATATAATGAATATATATATATTCATTACAGCACTATTCACAGTAGCAAAGATGGAATCAATCTAAATGCCTATCAAAGGTAGACTGAATAAAGAATATTTGGTATGTATACATCATGGAATAGTATGCAGTTAGGAAAAAGAATAATATTGTTTCCTTTGCAAAAACCTAGATGGAGCCAAAGGTCTTTATCCTTTGCAAACTAACACAGAAACAGAAGACCAAATACCACATGTTCTCAATGATAAGTGGGAGCTAAATGATGTGAACACATATAGGGGAAAAACACACCCTGGGCCCTACTGGAGGGTGGAGATTGGAAGGAGGGAGAGGATCAGGAAAAATCACTACTGGCTACTAGGCTTAATGCCTGTTGGAAACTAACATTGAGCTCTAAAACTGTTTTCCATTGGTGTTCAGATGTAACTTCCCCATGTCATACTATGTGTTGTTTCCCATGCTCTGTCTTCTCCCAAAAAGATGTGTATTTAACCTAGGAAATAAATGTAAAGTGTGGTAAATACGATGGGTCATGAAGGTGCAGTGAGACTGACTCCATCCTACATTCAGGGATAGGCCATCCCTCTCTGACAGTGAAAAGAGGCACTATCTGTACAGCATAGTACCACACAGGGCCAGAGCTTCCCTGAACCAGCTGGGGATTGTTACCTAGACCCAGTGTTGTTTATTGTTAAATCTTGTGGCTTGAAACACCTACTAATTGAATTGGATATCTTAGTCTAGGTTACTATTTTTGACATACATAATTGAATAAAATGCAGGTTATATATTTTAATTTTTTAAATTTACCACTTTATTTCAAGTTATTCTACCAAGCTCATGAAATATTTCACTATTTGTCATAAAAGTGAGGTTATGGCACATGCATTCTAAGATTTAATACATTGTTTCTAGGGGAGGTTGAAATATAGTATCCTGAATCTTAAATATTATAGAACTTTTAAACAATTTGGCTTAATTGGAGAAGGCTGTGGTATATTTAACGATGTTATGTATTCTACATTACTCCTTAAGAAACAGATTTTCAGGCTTGGTGTGGTGGCTCACGCCCGTAATCCCAACATTTTGGGAGGCTGAGGCAGGAGGATTCCTTGAGGCCAGGAGTTTGAGACCAGCTCAGGCAACAGAGCAAGACCTGGGTTCTATTAAAAAGAAAAAATCAAGAAAGAAACACGCTTTTGGGATAATAGTGAGAAACATTTGATTCTGTTACATATCACACTAAGACTAATTGAAGATAAGGAAAATTGATTCTGGAGATAACAGAGACAAGTTAGACAGAACACATTGATTTCTGATGTAACAGTGTTTGATGAAACTGTTCATAGAAAGTAAAGCCAAACTGCCTTATTTTACTGAGATACCTTTTAATAACCCAACTGTTAGATGAATAAAGCTTTTTAAAAAACTCAAAGCAAATGTTACTAATCCTTTGGAGTCCGGACGTCCCAGTTCACAGGGTTACTTCTAACATATAGAGCACATGCAGCCTTCTGATCAATGGATAGTGAAGGGACAGCCCCAGCTAGAGTTCAATTCAGCCCCAGGACCCCATGGCAGCCCAAGGTCTTGGTTCATGCTGTGGAAACAATACAGAATTTATTCACTCGGTAAACATTCACTAGGGTTACAGTAATTTTAGTATAATTCATTGTAAGGTGATGATCTCTAGGAATGTCATCACAGTGGAGCAACCTGAAAGCTCCCAGCAGCCAGCAATGAATGAAAGGTGGGGGCGGTGCTGCCACAGGGTCGGGGATAGTGAGCCAGGATCCTGGGCTCCCACATCACAATGGGGGTGGGGGCGCCTCGTGGAGGAGACTCTGTGCCTGATTGGTTCCTGGGCACCAGGTTGGAACTCTGGTGGTTGGTAGGACAACCTCCTTCAGTTGGTAGAAAGCAGTGGATGGAGGAGCTCCCTCTGTGCTGTCTTCTCCGCAATCTCCGCTCTCAGGCTTGTTGTATCTAGACCCATTTTAAATCAAGCAGGTTCCCTTCAGACCAGTCATCTCAGGGAAGGCAGCTGAGGAGGGGAGTGAGCTGTTAGTGGGGTGAAGCCCCATAGCCAGGGGCTGGCCCTGCCAGCGTGCCTGTGTTTGAAAGAGGTGAAGTGCTAAACTCTGCAGAATGGGAGGCAAGGGAAAGTCCAAGTTGCTGGAGAGGAGCCAAAGTGCCCCATGGGGAACACGCTGAGCTGTTGTTTGTGCCCCAAAGTCAGGCGCAGGCGAGGTCTACGTAGGTGGCCCGAGGATCTATCCTTCAGCTCTGACATCAATGAGGCGGTGGCAAGCAAAGGTGCAGGCCAAGACAGAAGGAACATGTCCAACACTAGTGCCAGACCCATTTGGGGCCCGAGCTGGCTGTGTGGGGTGGTGTCTGACAGCTGTGACATCTATGAGGCAGTGTCAAGCATAAGTGCAGACCAAGGCAGAGAGGAGCAGAGGCCGGGCAGAGGGATCATGGTCCTCCCCAATGCCAGACCCAAGCAGAGCCAGCCCAGGGTGCACTGGGCAGAACCAATCTGCAACTATGACATCAATGAGGGGGAGGTGGCGGCGCCAGACCCTACTGCTGTGGAGCCTGCCCTGTGGGATTTGGGAGCCGGTGACGGCCATGACCTGCAGCACATCAGCGACCAGGAGATGCCCAAAGGTAAGGCAATGAATGATACTGTTTGCCCTCAGGCACAGCTCTGGCTGACACTGATACCAGTTCTCACCCCTCCCCTCACCCCAGAGGCATCCACAGCCTCGGGCTCCTCCCTCCTGCCCCTAGCCAGCTTGCCCAGGCCCATGCACCAGGCAGGAGGACTGGCCCTGCCTCTTGCCTGCCCCCACCCTTCATTCTGGTGGTTTCTTTCCTCCTCCCTACCCCAATGCCCAGTTCTGGCCCCTTTCTCAACCCCAGGCTGGCCAAAAGCTAAGTTTTCCAAATAGAAAATGTATGCTACAGATTTCATTGCTGTAGAGGAAGTGTCTTACAGCTCTTCTGTTTACTTTGGTTGGCCTCTTAATTTATTTAAACGTTAGAATAATTAAGCTTCATGATGAATGTGACTTTGAAGTTGCAAGGTATTGTTCTCTCAGAATATTCAAAAATGGTGAAAGAATGAACAAAGATAGTATGTGAATGAATTGTGCCTTTATACACAAAGCATGCAAGTACTTGTGAAAGGTTTTCCTTGTTTGGTGGTGTAAGGTAAGCCTCTGAGTGCTTTCACACACCAGGTAGCAGATGGGTAGTGTGGGTTGATGGCCCAAAATAGACTCTTCATATCATTTTTGGGGATTTATAACACATTTACAGGTATGTCTCATTTGACCTTGTCTCTACAAAAAAAAATGGTTAAAAATTAGCCAGGTATGGTGGCTTGCACCCACATCCCAGCTGCAAGAGAATCTCCTGAGCCCAGGAGTTTGAGCCTTCAGTGAGTTATGCTGGCTCCATCTCACCATTGCACCACTCCAGCCTGGGCAGCAGAGCGTGACTTTGTCTGTTTATAAAATTGTTTTTGCCAAAAACAGCTCTTTGTTTTAAGACATTTGAAATATTGAGCCGGTGTCTGACCACAGTAATTGACCACAGCATCTCTTACTGCTTGAGACTTTCCCTGAAATGTGCTGGTAATAGCAGCCTAGAGGAAGGTGGTTATATTTGATAAGTAGAGGGAGGAGGGCATATATGTGATTCATCTAAAAGTTGCATCCGTTTATTTAGGTGCAAGTTTGAGAAAGAAGTCCCAGCCTCAGCCTGGATTTATTCCACATGCATGGAGAGATTCTGTGATTTTTGCATTCTCCAGTAGAATTGGGACATTGGTGCCTTTATTTTCTTGACATTTATTACTGAAAGCTTTTCTCAAGACTGTTAAAAGTGATTAAAATGGTTATGTAGCTTTAAAAAGAATCTTTTTTACTCACCTCACTTATGACATTGCTTCCTCTTCTTCCTCTACAGGTATTGCTTCTGACCATCCGAGGGCAAGCACACTCTTCCTGAGAAAGTATCAAATGAGTGGTAAGACAATATTGTTTCTGCCTTCAGGGAAAACCTAAACATTTTCTGTCTTTTGTATTACAGAAAGTATTTAGAGAAACTCAGATATTAGTTAAAAATGTTCAACTTTTCTTAGATTTACTTGTCTTATTTTCATATGTGATATAATTTCCTTTAGGTGTCACTGTTTATGGAAACATACAGACTTTGTGTTCACACATTTGGTGACATTTTTACCAACACAATTAATCGGCCACATGAGTTAGTGTAGTAGTCACGGATTTATGCTTTTTTCTTCATACGTCTTTGCCATTTTTCCCTTGCTCTAAAGAGTACATTTTAATAACGAGTGACAGGATTTAGGCCACAGCTTGGATTTCACTTGAGCAAATCAAAAGAATCCATTGTTCTAGACTGGATCTGTGATTTTGTCCTCCTTTTTCACAGTGCTCTAACCACTGTCACATCCAAGTTGTTGCTACAACTTTTTCGTTGGAATGTAATAGTGTTATACTGGACCGAGCATAGAAAATTAACACCAAGACAAAAGTATGCCAAATTGCAGGGTCTTTATTGCTGGCCACCACAGAGGACTCACGTCTCTCCAACCTGTGGCGTCGACAGGAGGGTGCCAAGACTTTTTATACCCGAAAAACCACCTTGGGAGTGGGGGTGAGGAGCGGGGATGGGGATGAAAAGGCTTCAGACATTCCGAGGGCTAGTGGATTCTGTAAATCACCTCCTGGGCGGAGAGGAGGGCTCCGGATATTCCAAGGGCCAGGGGACTTTTGTCATTCCGTTTGTTACTTAAGTGGTTTACAGAACTCAAGATAAACATTTGTTTACACATTATCTGGGTAAGGTGGAAATCACAGACCTTAGTTACTTATTACAAGTCGCAGGAGCCAAGATGGCGTGGGTTAGGACTGCTTGCCTGTCACGTTAGGGCCACAGAGAGCAGTTACTGATCAGCAAAGTTTAAGCAGCTTTACATAGTGGGCATTTTTCAGAGCAAGCTAGCAGCTTTATTTACAGAAGCCAAACACAGCTTTATCTTATAAAATGGCATTTCTCAGGTTCTGGCTCTAGGTCAGCACAATATCACAATAGAAATGTAACATGCCCTGTGCTGTTTTCCGTATTGGCCTTAGTGTGTGAAGCTAGTGTAAAGTTTCCATATCCTGCCTGTTTTAGGATGAGAATTAGAACTGTAGGATTTTTCTGTACTGTTGCTTATGTTTCATAATGTTCTGTTATCTTATTTTCAACAAAGCCATACACCATGTTTTTCAGTTAATTTTAACAACAAGAATACAAGAGCTGGGGGTTTTAGAATAACATCTGAAGTACTGCAGCACAATAAAAAAGGGGTTGTTCACCTGCATTTTCATAGTTTGTGTGGATGTTGTCTGACTTGAGCTAGTAATTTCTGGTTAGGATTGTTATATTTCTCAGTTTCTTCCAAGAGCCACGGGCTTCTCACACATAGAGTGTATGGAAGTAGAAGGAGACTGATCCCCTGTGCCTGTTACTTCAGTGGTGAGAAATGTGTGTCAGTGAGACCAGTTCAGCTTCAAAGGAGGAGGCATTGTAGGGAAGAAAGTGTGGCCCAAGTCCCTCTTTGGAGCTTTTATTCTTTGGACCTTTGTTGGAACAAAATGATTGTGTGTGCTGAGGATACCCTGTTCAGTTAGGTTGGCACACTCGTTTTGACATTTAAGTTTAAGGTAGGCTACCTTTCAGTTGAGTAAAGACCCATTTATTTTTTCAGTAATGTGTGAATAGATGACCGAGAAGCTGTTTGGGGTATTCTAGTGCATCTCGAGATTGACTCCTGGCCAGAAACTGGTTGTTAGAGCTGTCAGCTATTAGATCCCAGTAATGTAAGTAAGCTATGTGTAAATGTAGCATCAAAAAGCAAAACACTGTTGCGTAGGGGTTCAGAAATACAATAGATAAATACGTTTTTTTAAGCCGAATTTCTCATCTGTCCCACAGTTTGGCATTTTCATGAAGGAATACTTGAGACGGGATAATTTATAAAGAAAAGAGCCTTTATTGGCTCACAGTTCCACAGGCTGTACAGGAGGTGTGGTGCTGGCAAGTGCTTCTGGCAAGGGCCTCAAGAAGCTAATAATTGTGGTGGAAGGTGAAGAAGTCATCTTTCACATGGTGAGAGAAGGAGCAAGAGAGAGTGGGAGGTGCTGCAGGCTTTTAAAGAAGCAGATCGGGCCAGGTGCAGTGGCTCACACTTGGAATCCCAGCACTTTGGGATGCTGAGATGGGCAATCACTTGAGCCTGGAGTTTGAAACCACCTTGGGCCAACATAGTGAGACCCTGTCTGTATGAAAAATTTAAAAATTAGCCAGATGTGGTGCTGCATGCCTGTAGCCCCAGCTACTCTAGAGGGGAAGGTGGGAGGATCACTTAAGCCCAGGAGGCCAAGGCTGCGGTGAACCATAATCACGCTGTACTCCAGCCTGAGCATCAGAGTGAGACCCCGTCTCAGAACAACAACAGTAACAACAGCAAAACTCCAAGAAGATCATGCATGGATGGACTCAGAGCAGGAACTCAGTCATCACCAAGGGGATGGCGCGAAGGCATTCGTGAGGGATCTGACTGGAGATTACATTTCAACATGAGATTTGGAGGGCACACACATTCCCTAATTTGTTTTGCCTTTCCTTAGGTACATGGGGATTCTTTCATTTGTATGTAATAGAATATGTGTTAGGTCAAAAAGTAAAACTGTGTCTTTAAATTTTACATTATGAGATTCATCATGCCAGATTATTTAAATGTTAAATTTTGTTTAAATTAAAAATTTTTTTAAATTGATTTTTTTATATAGTGATAATCAGATTTATCTTGTTTTATATGGTGATGATCAGATGATTAGCAACTACTTTTATTCTGTGGTATTTTATTATACCAGAATTGATTAGTTATATTTTTATTTTAAGTGAAAGGAAAGAGGAGAAGCTTTCGCCTATATTCTGTAAGTAAGCTTTTGAAAAGTTAAGAAATTAATTGTTTAAATTAAAAGTCTATCTGTCATGATTTCTTAGAAATGTAACAGGGACCGAGTGCTGTTAGCATGATCCTTTCTTGGTAAATTTTCTAACTCTTTTCTATTTTCCTCAGTGTCAGATTTATGCAGAAAGTCTTTAACTTACTGTGCCCATTTTTAAGGCTGTCTGACATTTAAGTTAAATTTAAATCATTTGGTTGTGATATAAAGATCTGCCTTAAATATTTAATCTTTTAAAATCAAATAAAATTGAAAATAGCTAAGTCCATTTCCTTCAACACTTTCTGCCCACTCCCTGTCATAGCCGCTGAAAGCGTAGCACCCTCACTCCACTGTGACCTTGTTTCCCTCCCGTTTCTTCCATCTGTAAGGCATTTTTAATTAAATCATGAATTGATATTTACATGATTATGACTATGCACATATTATTCACTGCTGAGTCATGTAATGTTAGGAGTGTGCCTCCTCCTTGTACATCCTTCATTCTTTCTCTTCAATATTTCTGTAACCTGAACACTTCTGCACTTCTCCTAGATAACCCCCTTTTTCCTAGCCCATGATGGCTCATAAAGCCAAATGTGACCATTAGCCTCTGGCTGCTCTCTGTTTTCACATCCTTCATTTTTGTGTGTGTGGAAGTGATTTTCTGACTATGTTCCTTTGGCTCTCTAACAACTATTCTTCCCCAAGAGTTGTAACATTTGTCACATGCCTATCGAAAATATGTTTTATCTACTAAAAAATACATTCCATGTTTTTTTCTTGAAGCAAATTTCCTTGGCCTGTCGTTATCCTTCTCAGGATAGACTGTGTTTTCCTAGGCTGCCCTGCACCTGTTGGCCTGGGAGCTCTCTCTGAAATCTTCTGGGACCACTAATGTTGGGTCCCTGAGTCCTAGACTGCGCATTGCTCTCTGCCTTGCGTTACTCCCCAGTGGTGCTGGAGCGCAGTTTCTGAGGAAAGACTCAGGTACACACATGTTTAGAGATCTGGGCTTTCTTAAAACCCCTCCTTTGACATAGAGTATAGAATTCTAGAGTGTGACCGGGCGCGGTGGCTCAAGCCTGTAATCCCAGCACTTTGGGAAGCCGAGGCAGGTGGATCACGAGGTCAAGAGATCGAGACCATCCTGGTCAACATGGTGAAACCCCGTCTCTACCAAAAATACAAAAAATTAGCTGGGCATGGTGGGGCGTGCCGGTAATCCCAGCTACTCAGGAGGCTGAGGCAGGAGAATTGCCTGAACCCAGGAGGCGGAG